AGATGGAGCCTGGGGAGGACCTGTCTGTGCTGAGGGAGCTGGAGCATCCCAGCAGGGCAACAGGAGGTTTTAAATTTTGCAGATAGTACTGCACCTTGAGCAAAATCCGTGCCTGTCCTTATTTAAAAATTCCTTTATAATTGCGGGCTTGGCGAGAGGCTAATCTGTTTACACAGGCAAACAGGCAAGAATGTGCTTCCTGGGCGTGCTAACAGCAGCTCCTGCCCAGGGAAAAACTCAGGTCCTGCTCCGGGGGACACAGCAGGGAGAGTCCACAAAGCAGTTGTTCCCGCAGAAATCAGAGCCATCCCTCCTCTTTCCATCTTCTCCTTAGTTTGACAGGCAAGGGGGGAAATCATTAATTCTGCACTGCTAAATGTAAATGTTGGTCTGGATCTTGCCCACCCACTCTGGGTGTTTGAAAAAGTCGAACCTGCCCATGCATACCAGGACTGAAGGGAGCCACCACAGACAGCCATGGCATGTCCTGAGCCCTCCAGCAGCTCCTAGTGAGGAGCTTCCAAGATGAGAAAATGAGAAGCTCAGATATTGGTGGATGGGGGGGAAAACAGAATAAACCACTGGCCTCCTATATATATATATATATTTACTTACAAGTGGTATACATGTACTACTGTACTGATACATACATTATAAAACACACAGAAATAACAAATATAACGATGAAATAAGTCCTGTGTGAAACTTCCAAGAGCCACATTACTGTACTGGGGCTGAATGGGAGGATAACAAAATTCAGAAAACTTTAATCAGGTTTGTAAATCAGTGTTTGCAACTGGGTTGGGAACTTCTGGAGTCAGCTGGGTAAATCTGAGCAAAGCTTTTGTGAGGAAATGTTAATGTTTGGTTACATGTCTTTAATTGGAATAGAAATGCATGTGAACAGCTTTTGAGTTCTGCTCCTTGATTACCCATAGAGGGGTATTAAGGACTTTTTCTTCTAATATCAGGTGGACAAACATCTGTGTGGGAAATGGATGTACAGATTAGGGATGGGATTTCTGAGTGTCAGTGTTGGAAGTAACCCCCAGCTCTTTTGTGTCGAGGCAGTTGCTTCATGTTGGGCCAAAACATGCTTTGTGTGTAAAGGTATCATTTAGGAATTGACATCAAAACATGAATTACTGTGAACTAAAGGTATATAATATAATGGTATTTTACACACTAGACATCTGTGATCAAGTTTTTGTATTTCCATGTCTAGCCTCATGTTTCAGATGAGGGAATAAATGGAAATTTCTATTAGGAATATGCAAAATAGCTGTAGGAGTTGTTTAAAACTTGATTTGTTTAAAATCAAATGTTCTGTGAATCTAATGGAAACAGTTCAGCCATATAGGAGTAATGCATTTACCAGAATGTCATTAAATATTTCTGTTGTGAAAAAAGTCAACTCATTCCTGCCTAACTCGAAGTGGAGTTCACATAAATAATTTTTGGACTGTGACCATGCATGGTAGTAGTCAGCTGTTGTGACTCATGAAAAAGATAGTCTTAGAAGAGGACATTTCTGTCTGTGACTAATGTCAGCTTTAGCAGAGCATTTTGTGACTGTACTAACACTGCTGCCTCTATGTGACACTGGAAGGGCAGCCCAGGGAAACTTGTTTTCTTGCTTTTTACCTGGCTGCTCTCATACAGATAGCTTTTGTTAGGGGCTACCTCCTGTCACCTTTCTCAGGTTTGTGGCTGACAACTATCAAGTTCTCAAAACACCTTATTTGCCTCTGTTAATAAATTAGGGTTTAACTATATGCTTGCTTCAGGCACTGTACTAAAAGCCGGATTTCAGAGACTTGGGCAACAAATTTCTCCTTGCTGTATCCCTGCCCGGAGGTGCCTCCCTCCCACTGCTGGCAGAAACCATGGCACACACACCACATCCCACAGTTCTGCACTTTCCATCCCTGGAGCTTGTGTTTCTGGGATGGGATTGTGTCTCTGGCAAAGGATAGCATCTCCCTCTTTAAGCAGAGCAATAAGGGATAATCACACTGATGTGATGAAACTGCTTGTAGGGTTACGGGAGGGAAGGGGTTTGTGTGAAGGCAGCTCACTGCAGTGTTGTCCCAGAGGTGGAGTTGTGTGTGTGCCTTTTCTGAGGTCGTAGGTGGAGAGTGCCCTCAAAACATGAAAGCAGGTGAGGAGGAGGATGTGTGTCCACAGACATATGCATATGCGTAAGCTAAGGTTGGGTTCATGGATTGTCTTGTTTTGTTTAGCACAGGCTTCAGGCTGTCCCTGCACGTGGATAATGCCATCACTGGATTCAGGGTGTTCCTCCCCTGCTGGGCCCCACCAATGCAGATACTGGTACTTTATCATCACCCAAGTACCTGGTTTACCTTCCAGGTCTCACAAAGCCTTCTAAATGTGATTTCTTTACAGGATGTGATCGGAGGAGCACTGATTTCAGCTGTGCTGCTTGTGCTCTTGTATCCTGCGTGGGACACAATAGATCACTTGCTGTTAACCAGCCCCTTCTGCCCACTGTTTTCCATAGCTGTGCCTCTTGTCTTATGTTACAACTACCCCAAACTAGACTATTACAGCCCGACCAGGGGAGACACCACTACGATCTTAGGAGCAGCAGCCGGAGCAACTGTGGGATTTTGGTTAAACAACCAGTACACTGCTTCAGCCTACACCAGCAAAAGTGTTCAGCCTGGATTTCCTCTGATCACCAGTACAATGGTGTTTGTGCTAGCCAGGTTCTTCGTAGGGATCTTGGTTGTCCTGCTGACACGCTGGCTCATGAAGAGCGTGGTCCTTGGCATGCTGGGCTATCACTACAAGTTCCCCATTCGCGACCTGGAAGCCCGGAGACGCCTGGAAGTCGAGGTGCCCTATAAGTTTGTAACGTACTCCTCCGTCGGCTTCACGGCCACCGTGATTGTGCCGCTGCTGCACCAGCTGCTGGGCCTGATGTGAGCACAGCTCCTCCTCACCGAGCCACCTGCGGCACCACCGCTTCGGAGATGTGATAATCCAGGCTGGTGACTTGACCAAAAAGTGTTTTGTGCCTTTCTGCACTGGTGTGGTGGGGTTGGCTCTGGCTGGATGTCAGGTTCTCACCAGAGCTGCTCTATCACTCCCCTCTCTCCAGGGAGAGAAAATATAAGGAATGGATCCTGGCTTGAGACAAGTGCGGGGAGAGATCACTCAGCTGTTTTACTGTCACAGGCAAAACAGACATGACTCGGGGAAGTAAGTTTAATTTATTACCAAACTTATCAGAGTAGGATAATAAGAAATAAAACCAAACATTACAACCACCTTCCACCTACCCCTCCTTTCTAGGTTCAACTTCCCTCCTGAAGTCTCTACCTCCTCCTACCCACCATCACAGGGGGATGGGAATGGAGGTTACAGTCAGTTCATCACATGTTGCTGCTGCTGCTCCCTACTGCTCAGGGGTAGGACCCCTCACACTATTCCCCTGCCCCAGTATGGGGTCCCTCCCACAGAAGACAGCTCTCCAAAAATGTCTCCAGTGTGAATTCTTCCATGGGATGCACTTCTTCATCCAGCATGGGTCCCCTGAGGGATCAAAAGTCCTGCCAGGAGCTTGTTTCAGTGTGGTCTTTAAACCCTCCTAAGGGCATCACCCTGCATCAGTGTGGAGCCCTCCACTGATTGCAGGTGGATCTCTTCTCCTCATGGACCTCCATGGGCTGCAGGGACACAGCTGCCACACCACAGGCTACACCACAGGCTGCAGGAGAGTCTCTGCTCTGGCACCCAGAGCACCTCTTCCTCTTCCTTCTGTGATCTTGGTATCTGCAGAGTTGTTTCTCTCTCATATCTTCACTTCTCTGTCCACCTGCAGTTGTGCAGGTTTTCCCTCCCTTCTTAACTCTGTTATGCCACAGGTGCTGCTACTGTCACTGATGGGCTCAGCTTTGGCCAGCAGTGGCTCTGTCTGGAAGCCAGCTGGCATTGGTTCTATTGGACACAGGGGAAGCTTCTGGCACCTTCTGAGAGAAGCTTACCCTTCTATAGACCCTTATAGCTATTACCATGCCCTTGCCACACAAACACAAAGAAATTGGCCTAAAATATCTGACTTGGAGGAGTCACAGGAATTGCTGAGCACAGGTACCTTTGGGTTAGAAATCACTGACACCACTGTGTCCCATAGTTACATACCCTTTCCCAAGCAACTAAATATGTCAAGCACACAGCCAAAATCCCTGCCAGAGCAGTAGCAATGGCTGCTTTGCTGTGGGGTTTGGGTTGCTGGGGAGCAGATTGTGCCTCTGCCTGCCTGGCTGTGGAGCTGCTCCTGAAGCAGTAGAGCAAACCAAGGCAGGGCTCAGGTTTGGGGCACCAGGGAAAATGTGGCTGGTGGGGTGGGGGGAGAAGTGACCAGCCAAGAACAAAGTGCCATCGTTGGGCAGAGCTCATAGTGCCTTCTGATGGCACTGCCAGACCAGGCCAGTGATGTGTGGATGTTTTTACTCGTTATTACAATTTAACAAAAAAACAAACCCAAAATGTAAAAGAGAAGGAAAAGCTAACACAAAATGTTTATTGTGATTTACAACAAATTTACCTTAGATATTAATAAGAAAGCCTCCACTAAAGGATCCTTTGTCTACAAACAACTGAGCAGAGTCATCACAGCACTGAGGCTTGAGTTCAAACTGTTAAACTTCAATTTAGTTCCCCTGGCTAGGGGAAAGGAAAAAGTCCTTCCTGTCATGCAGAGGTGACAAGTAGAGTCCATAAACTGCGTTGTGGAAGGAGCTGAGTAGTGACTGGTGACTACAGCGCGTGACAATGATAAGATGCCATCATTTTCTGCTGCTGCACAACATCACAGTTGGTCTTCCATGCATCCTGCAACACTGTGTGCACACTTGTAGAATAGCAGGCAGGCGTGTCCATAGGAAGGTCATCCCTATAACTCAGGCTGCTTATTTAAAACAATATATTTCAGCTGTTGGACCAATGAGCTGTTGAGAAACACAGCAGTGAATGTGGTCTGCTTGGCTGGGAAAATGTACCATGCTGTTGCTGCAAAGCTTCAAGCCTGGCCCCTGTGCCTTGCCTGGCAGAATGTACAGTGAGAGCCAGCTTTCTAACCATGTCCACTTGTCTTCCTGGCTGCGAGGAAAATGAACCTGAGGAATGTAAAGGAGGTGCTTTGCCATCCCTTGACTGCCTGGATAAACATAATTCCAAAACTGTAGCTGGGAGTTCTGTCTGAGCAGTGTGAGGCTTGCACATGAAAGAGCTGCACCACTCTAAACCAGGTTGCCAGTCTCCAGAGGAAATGCAAGCAAAAATTTTAACCATTTTCAGATTTGCTCAGGCTGTGGATAAACTGCTCTGTATCAGGTTGTGTGGACTTTCCATGTGCATGCAAACAGCTCCAGCGAGCCTTTCAGCAGGGCACACGGCCACTCACACCTGCCCCTGGGTGAGTGCTGGATGTGGGCCACCACAGCCATGGGCTTCCACCCTCAGCCTCTCTCCCTCCCATACACCACAGAAGTGCTGCCATCAGGTTTAAAACACCTTTAAACCCCTTGTGTTAAGAGTGCTGCATGAACACAGGTGCAGTGCAAAACGGGAGCCCTGCAGAGGGGCCACATCAGAAAATCGGGAAAAAACTTGGCAGCAAGACGAGCATTTAAGCTGGGGATTGGAATTACTCCCAAGAAAGGCACAGTTTGTCAGGGACATTCATGCAGCTGTATGTGTAAAATTTCTGTTCTGATTCACAGCTATTTTATGCTATGAAGATTTTATAAATTGTATCTAAATGCTTCACAAGTATTTTTATAATATCCACCTGTATGCGATTCATGCAATAAATGCAAACTCTATTTGGTTCAAATTTTTAAATAAACCTATTTTTCAGAGTTTGGTGTCTGTCTGTTTTGCATCCTCTATTGATACTTGTAAATGACTGATGCAAAGGCAATGAGTCCCTCTCTTCCCAAGCTGTCCTGCTTGTGGCTCCATGTCTCCTGCTCACTCTAGCTCCATGCTTTGGCTTGTCCAGAAGGATCCTGCTTTTTTAAAAGCATTTTAAAAAGAGATTACTGGTCTACTGATGACTATTTGTTACAATATTTGTAAATGGAAATGAGTGACATGCATGTAGTTACTGCTGGGGGACTTTCGGGCACTGGAATTTCCTTCTGCAATATCTACTTCTAATAGACTAAACAGTTAACTGGAGGCCAATTTAATATGTGCAATGACAGCATGACAACCCATGAACTGCAGAATATTTTGCATTAGTTGAGAAGCCTGACAAGGTTTTATGGTCCAAAAGTGTACTTGAAACCAGCCAGGGCCCCATCCTTCTCTCAGCATCACATCCTGCCTGGAAGTGGTGTCACTCCAAGTGTCCACAGCTGATCAGGAAAAGATCAATTGCTGCAGCATGCCTGGGCCAGCTGGGTTAGGCAGGGCTTGCCACTGGGCTCTGTGCTGAGGCTGTGCTCCTGGGTTGCTCAGGGGACCATAGCCACTCCTGCAGGGCCAGGCTTGGAGAGGCAAGTCTCCTGACAAGGTGAGACACATCACCTTTTCTGTATTTCATTAACCTGAAGCACCAGCTCCTCAGTACAAATCTGTCTTTGCTGTCTTTGGAAATCCTCCCCACTTCTTCATCCCTGCAGTGCAGATGCCTCTGCATTTCCAGGGTGGTGATAGAGAATGAGGTTTTGTGGTGGGCTTGCTGGCCATGTTCTTTGCTTTGTAAGACAAAGGTATCAGCTGAATCCTCTCGGGTAGGCACACCAGTGTTTAGAGTAAAACACTGCTTTTGATGTGAATGGAGTGGGAGGTAACTTCCAGAGTATCACAGCCTGTGCTGTTGTGTTCTCAGTACTGTCTGTGCTCTGTTCTGGTCCAGTACTACAGCTCTCCCTCTGTGCCTGCCTACAGGGGTGATGCAAGACAATCTAAGTTGCCTTTGTTATACTGTCAAAAGGGATGTAGCAGGCACCTCACCCATAGCATAGTCCACTCTGTCCTGCCCAGAGACTGCCTTCTCCAACCTGTTTTCTTTGCAAATCACTTTCTGGGTACATGGTACTGACCCAGGCTTTGTCCTGGCTGGAGCATCTCTGTGTGCTGGTGCCCCAGTGCAAAACCAGCTGCTCTGTCAGAAGTCAAACAGATATTGCATCTTTTGGCAGGAATTAAGAACCAAAGCACCAAGCACTGGATTTCCTCGCTTTAATTTTCCTGTTTGTCATGACCCCAGCCTCCTAATCCATCTAAGTTCCTATGCAAAATCATAAGCAAGCTCATGACTTCCTTTTCTGGATGTAGTTGATGTAATTTAGGGAACAGAAGAAAACAGTCTCAGTTTCAGTTTTGACCCTTCCCAACTGTGCTACAAGGAGAAGTTAAAAACACAGGTACCTGTCTGAACAGGGTGGAAGTGCAGCTGGGCAGTGGGTGGGATCTTGCACATTTGCTGAGCCATGAGAAAAGCAAGGCCCTCGCTTGCTTCCTGCTCCTGTCAGAGCTTCCCTGCTGTCTCACTGTCTTCCCACCTGCCTACTGTCCCTCTGTCCCTCTGTCCTGCTGTCCCTCTGTCCCGCTGCCACCCCGCCCTGGAGCAAGGCTCGGTTTCAAGGTCACTGGGCGGGCAGAGGTGTCGCGTGTGCCAGGCCATGATCCCCTGGCAGCCTCCTGGCACTGCTTTTGCCCAGCCTATTCCACACTCACCTGCCAAACCAGGGCTGATTTAAATTTCAAGCGAGCACAGTGCCAGGCTGGAGATGGAAACAGTCCCAGGCATCACCTTTATGTAAACAGCCTTGTGCAATAGCAAGGGTAACCTGCAGGCACGGGGCCTGTGCCGGGAGCTGCAGCCAGGCTGGCTCAGGGTTCTGCTCTTTGGAAAATCACCACCAAAGCACAGCAAGGACAAACCCAGAGCTCAGAGCTCGTGTTAGCAGAACGGAATCCAGCAATCTCCCAGACAGCTCTGATCTCTGTCACCAGCTCTCCAGCCTTGTCTGCTTCTGTTCACATCCCCAGCAACGACCCAGTAGCCACAGGGAGCAGGAGCAGGCCAAAAGTAATCCACAATTGAGGAGCAGTAGTTAAAAATCCGACTTCCAACTCTTGTCTAAAAAGAAAACCCAAGTTCAAAAGATTGCTCAGAAGTCCCCACCAGCAGCAAAGGGTTCCTTTCCCAGAGCCCATGGCTACAGCAAAGGGTAAAAGCAAATTTCAGTGCTCACAGTGGCTGGCTCCAGCACAAAGCTGTGTAATAACTACCTCGAGAACTGCACACAGCTATGAGCAGGCTGTAAATACCAGATAATTGCTTTGGAGCTATGAAAGACAAAGCCTCGCAATAAATATACCAGACTTATATGAAGTGTCCCACTCATCAGGAATCACAGTTAATCCTGAGCACAGCACTACAGCAGAGCTTGAATTTCACTGCAAGGCTGTTGGCACCACAGTTAACTGGAAGGGTCAGGGACTCTGAAGAGGCTTTTTAACCTTTCTCTCAATTCTCATCCTCTACTTTTAGCAAGTAATGGTACTTACCTGGGACGAAGCCCATGGTTTTGGAGCATTTAGCTGCCAATGCATGAGCAAATGGTGAAATGAAAAAGAAGCGATACCTAAAAGCCTCACAACACATGCCACTGCAGCTCAAGCCTTTAGCCCCAGCTTAATCTAGTCTTTACACTCAAAGGACAGCTAAATTCACAGGAGAATTGGGACACCCAAAGAGTCAGAAAATCTTGTGTAGAGAAATATATTTAGTGCACGCAAATATGCCTGCACTCTGCTGCAATGCAAATCTGCCTTATTGTCGTCCTAATCCCCGTGCATGACACACCAATAAACAAGGGGGGGTTAATACTTTCCATCTGCGTTACGGATTGCTTCCCACACTGCGAGCCTGCCTGGCTACAGTTGTGTAGGCATCATGGAGAGAGAGATCCTGCAAACGCCAAGCTGCCTAATCCCCTGGGAGGTTTAAATTGTGAGCTGCAGTTTTCTCACTCTCCGTGGGCACTGGAGCCAGTCGTGCAACGTATGGCAATAGCTATATTCTCATTTCACGTCTGTCATGCAGAGATAATTAAAATCTACACTTCCATCTGAGGGGAACCGTAGGGTTTCCAGATGGGTAACTGGAGAGCATATTTCATACTGGATTATCACTTGCACCAAAAAGCCTTGCCTGTTGCCTTCCCACCTGTTGAGATTGTTGATGGGACTGCCATTGAAAAGCCCTCATGGGCCCAAGTGAGCGGGGTCTGTGCAGCTCGTAAAACTACAAGCTTACCTCAGCACGGCACATCTCTCTGCTCAGTGGGGCACTCATTGTGACACCCTTCTCTGGCAACTCCCAGATGTCCCCCCTTGGACAGGCCCCTCCTGGCTCTCACAGCAGAAAGGAGCCGCAGCGCACCGGCCTAGCACAAAACACTGGCTGTTGTTGGCCTGCTGCATTAGCAATGGTTATAATATTGCAAAGGAGGGACAGCCAGCTCCACAAGGCTGCCAGTCAAGGGCTGCTTCGGTGTACTGAGCTGACCACCCACTTGGTGACATTCCTGCAGAAAGGAAGGATTGGGCATCACTGTGCTGGATGGAGCTTCTCAGTTTCAGAGGGTAGAGGCACAATGCACCAAGCTGTGACACAACTGCTGACAGAAAGCCACCTAGAAGGAAAAGCCTGACCCATGAGAGGTTCTCATGTACTGGCAGGGGTAGAACTGCCAGAAAAGTAACCCTGTCCAAAAATCTACATGGTTCTGCTGCACAGCTGGGGTCCAGAAAGCCCTGGTGGGGCTGGGAGTGCAGTGGGCCCACGCGCACTTCTGCAGACAAACGTGCCAGCCTCAGGCAGACAAAGGCTTTGATAGTTTTCTGCTACTCATGCAAAACACCACGGGCATATGCTCTTAAATGCACTTCCCCATTTGGTTTGGAGCTTCAAAAACCTCCAGGCTGACATCAACAATGAAAAAAAAATTTAATTCCACCCCCTCCCCTTTCTGAATTTAGAATGATAAAGGACCAACAGTTATGTCTGGAGCAGGGAAGCAGATATTACACACATCTTGCTTACAAAATAGCTCTGGTTTTCATGAAACAAGTTTATTTTCCTCCCCCAGCCATTGATGAGCACATGACAACCGTATAGAATAAAAGCTCAACTCCTTAGTTCTGCTCACATTCACTCAACATTTGCTCTAATCAATTATCTTATTTCATGCAGTAAGAAAAGAATGAGATTCCTGTTATGCAGCCATAATCAGTTACAGTATGAAGCTGTGTCTGTGGAACATTTCTGATTTTGAAAACTAATCATGTGCTCTGCCATTACATTTCTCTTCTAAAACACTGGGCTTTGACCCAACTTGTTTCTTCCCCCCTGCCCTTTGAAAACATTGAGGGCACAGCCTAGTCCGGGATCCCACATTCCTTCCCTGCAGAAGCCAGCCAGATTGCACTGTAAAGAACACATTTACTCAGGGAGACAGGATCTGTTTTTCTGGTTTATTGGAACATAAAAGCATAAGCGGATGTCCCCTGGGAGGCAGACAAAAGAGAGGGTGCTGCATGTGACAGTGGACAGCTGTCAGAGGATAAAAGTCACATCTTCACACGAAGGGCTCAATATTGATCTCTAGGACAGAGCAAGGCATGGTGAGCTCAAACTTGGTGATAACATCAGGGTGTATGACTCCAAGTTTCCCAATGCTTTGACCTTTGGCAAAGACCTCAGCACAGCGACCAGGAAAGAAAGCAGAGCCTGTAAAGAAAGTGAGAGAAAAATCAATATTTCTTTGGGCCAGAGGAGTCAATAGGCATTTAGTGTGCAGAACAAAGCTCTCAGTATTAAACAGTTCTCTGTGCTGAGATGCTCAGAAGGGGCTCTCACATTCTTGCATTAAAAGTTATCATGATTGATAGAGAATGAGAAAACACTGACTTAAAAATAAAATATAAAGCCCAAAGCATGGGCATTTTTCGCACTCCAATTGTTTTGACTAAGTTCCTCCTGCAATAGAAATTAGCACAGTTGAGTCAGAGGGCTACTGAAATGAAGAACTTTTGCAGCCTGGAGGCTACTTAACATCCAAATGTCTCCCACCTTTGTCTGTTTAAAGAAATAAAGCTTGCTGTCATCTAATGGATAAATGGGCATGTCACCCTTGGTTGCCTGTCACATAATTAAAAACAACCTGCATTCCTCATCTGGACAAAAACTTTTAAAGAATTTTCCTATTCACCATAAAACTGTGAAACAATGAACACTCAAAGAAAGCCGAAGATCATCTTCCTCTTACTTCAAACCAAGTCCCAAATTTTAAATGTTACATGGAAGTTTTTCCTTAAAAAGTAATTAAATTTCCCATGAAGAACTTGAAGCAGCTGTGTAGACTTTTTCATGGAAAGACTTTCCTACCTGGGAACTTCCCTGTGTGTGGTGGCTCTACCAGCACTATGTTCAAGCTTGTCTATTGCAAGAGGTGACCTATCCTGAGGTGAGTGGCATTTTTATCTGATAGCCCTTCTAAAGACAAACCCAAACCAGACCAGCCAGTTGCTCCTTTTCAGAAAGCTCCTGAGCCCTGTTTTTAATGCTGCTGCCTTCAGTGTCCTCTGCAAAAAGATCACAAAAATTTCCTGACATCTGGTTACAGCAAATGCTGCTTAAAGTTCAGCATCAGTCCAGGACATTTTACTGTATGTATGAGGAGCTACTTAAAAAGGCAATGATGTCCCAATGAACCTCAAACCTCAAGAACATTTTCATGATACTCTGGTCACTAATGGTCAAGCTCAGAGATATTCTCTGTTAGCTGCCCAGTGGAAATATTTCATAGGAAGTGTCTCCTATGAGGTTTGTAGTTGCAACTTGCAGCTACAAGAACAGCAATTAGGTCTTTTTCTCGTCCAAGTTGCTGCAAGTGCAAATTACCTTCAATGTCCACTTCAGTTTTGGCTACCTTGTGAAATCTGACCACAGTAGTAAATGACCACAGTAACATTGCTTAAAGGCTGTTTTAAAAATACTCAGAGCAAAATCTTTTAAATTATCCAGTTCCAGTCTTAGCTACAAGCACAAACCAACCATTTACACTGGATGTACAACAGTGAAATTACCTCACCCTGGATGCTACTGGCACATGACTCTAGCCAAAGAGACACTTGCCACTGCCAAGCTGCACTATTCAAAACAAGATGAAACAAATTTAGAAAAGAGTCAAATGTCACACATACAGATCACTTTGCAGACTGTGGGTGAATACATAACCTAAAAATAAAGTTGCCTTTTACTTAGTGGTAAAGGCTTTCCCATTTGTAAATAAAGCTGGTATTGTACCAAAGATGTGAGCAGCACACAGAGACTTTGTTTTAGACACTTGATTGCAAGTTTGAACTGGCACAAGAGCAAGAACCAAGCAGAAGTTGATAATGTTGGTGTGGTACCCCACTATAAATCTGTAGGAAAAAAAGAGCTTTGACAAAGGGTCAGTTAAAAAGCTGTGTCTGACTTGTCTGTTCTTCTGAGCTTCCTTCTGTGTAGTCTTGGGAAAGTTATTTTATCTTCTTGCACATCTAGACACAGCTATGTCATGAGACTTAACTGTTTTTAAACTTGTAGTAGATATCTGATGGGGTCTAAAATAATACTGTACTCAGTCAATTCAACAAGGGCAGTTTCCCAGATCTGTGCTACTTCCCATTGTGTGAAACAATGCTGTTTTCATACGCAACAAATGCTCTGCTATCCATCACCAGTTGTTGGTCTCCTAGTCCCAGTGAGTTCCAAATATGCTGCTCCAGGCTATGGCTTAGACACTGAGCAGAATTTTCCATCTCACGCAGCAACCGATGCTGGACCATGATGTTACTTTTCCTTGCACTTCCTTGCAGTGAGGAGGGAAATATATAATTAATATCAAGGGGGAACATTTAGGTCCCCAAAGTGCAGGAAACAGGACCTTCAAACAATGTCTCAACTTCTAGTTGAGCTGACCCTGGAATGTTGGCTGCTTCACAGGGCAGTCACCAGTGTGCTCCACACTCTGCAGACACTGCAGTTGCAGGGCACAATTCTGTGGCTGGAAAAGATCAGACAATAAGCAGATAAAAATGAAAGAACCTGTTAAAAATTTTAGGGCCCCCATCTGTCCAGCCAACACATGGCTCTTGCACCAAAGAAACATGAGCTGAGAAACAGGTTTACAGAGAGTTTATGAACTCTGGTTAATAATGGAACTATTATTACAGTAATTGGCTGCACTACAGAATGCTTCAAAGTATATTCTTGCCTGCCAAAAGGGCCTGCAGACTGCATCCCATAGGGGGGATCTAAAGCCTTCCTCATCTCAGTGACTCTTCCTTTGACCACACAGGTGGTAAGGGAAGGAGGTTGGCTCATGCATTGGACCAGGTGGTGTTACTCCATGTGCCTCTGCCATGGAACCAGAATTTGGAGCAAACGTAAATTCCAGGTTAAAAAATTCAGACACTGAAAGGGAAGCAAAGAAGTCAAAAAAAACAAACCTCAGAAGAAACATGAAAAGCCTGAGCAGGAAGGGGGGAAAAAAAACCCAAGCATTTGCAGCTGGGGGAGAGCTTTGATGAGGGACCAACCACAAGCATAAAAGGAGACCTGAACTAGAGGAACCTGCTGTGCTGGGGTAAGAGACAGGCTGCAGGAGGACCTGAGAAACCCATGGAGCAGGGCAGCAAACCAGGACAGTAACCAAAATAATCAGGGAACAAAGGTAAGGACTCTTTTTATCCTAATTTGTGTGTTTCTGGTATTATCAAGTAAACAGCAATGGTGGTTAGGATTTCTAGCAAAGCTTGTATTATTTACTGGGCAGTGTTATGTGACTTCAACTCTTGAAGTAAAGTAAAAGCTTCAGAGTGAGAGTCAAGGCTGTATGAAAGATGTGCTGAAGCTACTTGCACACATGGGAAATCAGCAAAGTGCACACAGCGTCACCTTGTTTGTGACAACAGAAACTAAAGCCCAGCATTCTTAAGCTGTAGTAAAGCCTTGATGCCAAAAGGAGTCTTTCCAGAATCATTGGCAGCTGTGACCTGGAGCTCACCATAGTTTTTGTCCTGCCTGTCTATGCAGTATCATCCAAGAATAGCATGGTTGTGAAGAGCATGGTCTTCCCCAAGTAACTGTCCCTAGTCAGGGAGGCACAAAAGCACCCCTGGAGGCCCCACTCAGGTGTGTTAGGAAGGGATTGTGATTGCTGCCAGTGTAATTATGCCAGTGAATTATCCTGAAAGGCTGCTCTTGTAGGTCAAACTGGTTGGTTGTACCCTCAACTACACTGAGAGTCAAAACTGATCTAAACATTGTAGCTTACTGTACCTTCTGTTTTAAGGATAACAGATTTATCCCTCTTGACAGTAAATCCTTTCTGCTCTGCACACAAATAAACTTCACCTTGAAAATCTAGTCAGAGATTGTATTGTCCTTGCTGATAAAGACCCAGACAGTGCCAGAGAAAGCCTGAAGGTCTAGCAGTGGAAATCCACCTCTTAATATGTCAGGTGTGTAAGTGGTAGTTAGGAGAAGGGGTGGGGTGAAATCGTATACGCGTTGCTAAAGAAGGGATGCCAAAGCCAGCCCTGTCTTATGCTGACACACTACACGCAAGGGAAAGACAAAAGCTACTTCTCGTGGCTGCAAGTAAGAATTTAATTTCTAATGTTCAGTGATGTAGAAGTAATACCTTTAATTAAAGCTTCTGTAGCATGTCCTCAAAATCCGTAATTGCCTTTCTGTATTCAGGCAACAGGGCCACTTTGATTGCTTTGGGGTAATTCTTTGGCCAATAATCCAACAGAGCATGTAGTCTTTAGCACATTTTCTGGCTAATTGACCCTCAAAGAGCTCCAAGTTCCCTGCACTCTTTGTTGTCAAACACCTTGCACAGTTTCTTTTCTCTACCTTACTCTCTCTTCCTTTCAAAAAGAAATAGATTAAAACTGTATTATAGGTCTGCAGTTGCACTAAGCCTTCAAACCCACTTGTTTGGTCCTGTAATTTGAAGGAAGACTGGAAGCTGAAGCTTAAGAAGGTAACGGAGCAGAGCTTATCTGGCCTCAGTAGCCTTTCATCTTAATTCTCCTCCCCTTAGTGACTCCAGCTGCCCTTTCACTACCTCATCCCAAATCACCTGGGGAAGTATTTTGCCTGTGCTACACTGCATGGAATTTGGTTTTGTGAGGCTAGATGTTGGTTTTAGGATCAAGTTCCTCCCACTTCTGACCAATTCCTTCTTTTGGCAGAAAATGCAAATCAAATGCAGAGTCAGGGGGCACCATCAGCCCAGGCAGTGTGTTAAAAGGCAGCCCCCTCTTTCTGCCCGTATACACAGCACAGAAAGGGTCCCAGAACCTTATGCAAACCAACAGCAACCTCAAAATCAGATCTTGTCATGGAATGATTTACCTTCAGCTAGTTCCTAAAATCACAGACATCTCAAAGCTTGCATGATTTCTGGAACATACTTAGAGACCAATTGTTCTCATAAGTTGCACATTGTCAGCAGTTCTTCTCCCTTATATTCTCAAGCCCAGAAAAACCATACTTTGGGACCAGTGGGAGATTTGTCAACTTTAGACTCTTTATTTGTCTAAATCAAGCTAAAGCTGTGCCAGAATGACTGCCATTTCCCCAGATCACACCTAACTGTAGTGACACACCAGGAAATTCAAATGAGTACAATTAAATTTAAGGCATGTGCCTTAATTACCCCTCACAAGAAA